TATGTATTAATGGGATTCAGTGTGATATTTCTGTACACAAGTGTAGCATGCATTGGTCAGTCAACTTGCCCTTTTCTACTCCCCCCTCCTATACACACTTTCTATATCTAATAGTCATTATTCTGCTTTCAGATTAGCTTTTTTCAGCTTCCACATTGACAGTTTTTAGGAGTACTTGTTGGGGGTGTGAGAAGCACCCTCTGGAATCTATCTGATGTTTTTCTCATAGTCTGGGGCTAAGGTTGACTGGAGCAAGTCTATCAAAGAAAATGTCATTTTCATATATCAAGAGTGCATATTACCAATATAACTGTTCATTGCTCATACTGACCTAATTTTCTTAGTTTAATATTAAACACTTTTATTCTAAAATATTTGGAACTCACCAAGAAGTATGTTTTATATGTTCTCATTTTTCAATCATGTATCCTCTGCTCCCCACCATCCTCAAGGATTCAAACAACTTATATTTTGCATATCCATTTGCAGCAATACATACTTTTCAAAAAACAACTTTTGATGTATGATTCACATATAATTTACCCGTTAAAAGCAGGAAATCTAATGGTTTTTAATTTGTTTAGAGATGTACAACCATCACCAAAATCAGGATTGGAACATTATCATCACCCAAGAAAGAAACTTCATAACTAATGGTAGTTATTCCCTATTTCTCTTCACTTCCCACATAAGCTTTCCCTCTACCCTTAAGCCTGCTCAGTTATATATCTGAGTTTTTGTCTCTGTGTATTTATCTATTCTGGGTTATTTTATAAATCACTCTTACCTAACTGTAATTATATAGTCTTTGACCAACATCTTCCTCTTTTCCCTACTCTGTAACCACCCAAGCCTCTGGTTAAAACTTTTATACTGTGTATTTCTGTGAGATCATATAATATTTGTCTTTAAGTACCTGGTTTATTTCATTTAACATTATGTTCTCTAGGTTCATCCATGTTGTTGGAAATGACAGGAATTCATTCTTTCTACTATTCTATCATGTAAATATAAGGCATTTTCTTTTCCATTCATTCACTGAGGGACTCTTAGTCTGATTTTGGTGATTCTGAATATTGCTATAATGAACATAGAACAGTAGATGTCTGTTCAAGATAATGATTTTATTTCCTTAGGATATATAGCTAGTAGTTGGACTATTGGAAGTCAGTTCTATTTTTAATATTTTGAGGAACCTCCATACTGTTTTTCATAATGGCTGTACTAATTTGCCTTCCCACAAACAGTGTGAAAGGGTCTCCTGTACTTCACTTCTTTGCCCACATTTGTTTTTCTTTTGCCTTTTTGATAATAGCCCTTCTATCTGGAATGAGATGACATCTCAATGTGGTTTTGGTTTGCCTTTAATAGGTATATGAGCAAAATGCTTAACTTCACCAGTCATTAGAAAAATGCTTTTTTAAGAGAAACATTTGACTTTGCATTTTTCTATGTTATCAAGAGAAGGAGTTTTAAGATGAGTTTAACAATTTATAAATTGTGCATCTTTGTGCATAATAGAATTTTCTGAGTATGTGTGTGTGTTACCATGTTGTCCAATCAATTTTTAAATTCCCAGATTTTTAAGGAGAAAAAAATAATCGAATGAGTTCAGGCAAAATGGAAAAACAATCAGTGGAATGGCATAGAGTCTTCTCACTGAATCTTTCAAAATAAAGCCTATAAAAATTGCAGAAATAAATTAATCTTTAATAGAACATCTTAAGTTATTAACTAAAATGTGTGTTATAGAGCTGTCTAAATGAGCAGATAAAATTTATTCTGTTATAGAAATATGATTTTGCTAATACCCAGATTTTAAACACTTAATTTCTTCATTTGTTATTGTGCTGCTTTCATAATGACAAGTATAAACTGGTTTCAAAAGAGCTATAGAAATAGACTTTTTTTTTTTTTAGAGTTTTGTAGTTACACATAGTAGTTGGGTTCTTTCCAACAAACTCATACATGCATGGAATTTGATTCCCCTTTTCCTCCCTCTTCCCTTCTCCTTATTCGACTAGACTTCCTTTTGCTCATATTTATTTATATTTGATTGGTTCTTTTTACTTGTGCATAACAGTGAAATTCCCTGTGGTATATTTATGTGCACATAACATGATGTTTTAAAGAACTTTAAAGATTTCTCCCCTTTCCCATCCCTCCTTTCTGCTTCTCAATTTTCTTTTTCTACACTGCTGATCTTCCCTGTATCTTTATAATGTCCTATCCTTCCCTCCCCCTTTCCTTTATTTTTTAATCTAGTTTCCTCATATGAGAGAATACATTTAACCTTTAAGTTGATTTTGGCTTATTTCACTTAACATAATATTCTTCATTTCCATCCATTTACTGGCAGGTGCCATAATTTCATTCATCTTTATGGCTGAGTAGAACTCCATTGTGTGTGTGTGTGTGTGTGTGTGTGTGTGTGTATGTATATGTATGTATCACAATTTCTTAATCTATTCATCTGTTCATGGGGACCTGGTTTGAATCCATAATTTAGCTACTGTAAATTGTGAAACTATAAACATTGAGGTGTGCGTATCTCTATAATGTGCCAATCTTAGATCTTTTAGGAAAATACCAAGGAATGAGATATCTGGGTCATATGGTTGTTCCATCCCTAGTGTTTTGAGGAATCTCCATACTGATTTCCAGAGTGGTTATACTCATCTGCAGTTCCACTAACAATGTACAAGTGTTCCTTTTTCTCCACAACCTTGCTAGCATTTATTATTGTTTATATTCTTGATCATTCCCAAAGAGGAAAGCTTAATTATTATTATCTGTGTTATCAATTTAATAAATGAGACTAGAGAGTAAATGTGAATTATAGACCCTCCCACACTGTAGTTAATTGATCAAATATAACAAATACATGCCAATAGGTTGCATTTCGTTCGGGTTTAGAATACTTTTTTGTATGTTTATGAATGATGTGACATGGATGATATCTACTTCAATATATGCATGTAATATTTTAAGACCAAACATTCTTAACTTTACAATGATTTGTTTATATGTGATTTAGGACTTGTGATATTCTGGAAACCAGAAAAATATTTTAAATCCAATATTGAAATGTCACATAAAAACAAATTGCAAGAAACAAAATAACCCACTGTTCAGCCATTGTGGGTCTTCACAGTTCTACTCAGGGATGAATTGATGGATTTTTTTTTTTTACACTACTGGGGATTGAAGCTAGGGCCTTGCATGTGTTAGGCAAGGACTTGACCACTGAGCTACATCCCCAGTCAGCGACTGGGGAAATTGATGGGACCGAACAGCTCAAGCAGAGGTGACCTCTCACCATCATCCTCATAGATAAAGAACCCAGAGCCAGAGTTGGTGGAGGCATGGTCCTGGTGGTGAGGCTTCAAGAAATAATTTTTCTCAGTACTATTGCCAGGCTTCAAGCTAAATATGCAAATAGGAGTAAACATAGTAAGAAACAGCAGTCAATGTCAACATATGAATTAAACTGAAAGAGCGATGATATCTCTATCATAGTCAGAGCCTTCTTTGCTTTGGATTTCTCATAATTTATGGAGTGCAACCATGTGTTAGGCATTGAGCTAAAGTGTTCCATATTCAGAGATAAAATGAAAAATTCTTTACATTACAAAATCATCATCTGGTGGAATAAGTGGCCAACTAAAAAGACTTAAAATGCAGTATGCTAGAGGAATTTGCAGCTGTGGAAACAGTCACCTCACCCAAACTGGGCTGTAGGATAAGAGGCAGAAAAGATTTTAGGAGTCAGAGATACCTGAATTGAACCACAAAGAGTAATTAGGTTAGCCAAGCTAAGGGGGTTGCTAGAAAGCTTTTATGGCAAAAGAATCAGCTGGTGCAGAGGGATGCAAGCTCAGAAAAATCGTTTGTGTTGGCAATTTTAAATAGTTCTATGTGGCTTAGAGAATGGAATGATTTAAAGTTGTGGCAAGAAGTTGAAAGGATAATCGATGTTTCATTAGCAGGTAGAGGAATTAGACTTTTTCCTGAGGCTAAAAGTTAGCCTTCAAGGGATTTTAGGTGGGAGAGTAATGTAATTTTAAAATTTAAAATCACTTAAAATACATTTTAAAATAAGTATTTTGACTGCTTCATGAGAATGGGGATAGAAGACGGCCCATCTCCAGAGAGACTGTTATGAGACTGTTCCTGTAACTGAGGACAGAGTTGTTCTGCTGGCAGTGGTATTTGGAGTGTCGTCCTCCTTAATACCATATCCTTATGAGCAAAGAGGAAAAAAATGGTAGGAAGTAGATGCAGTAGATGGTAAGGATCTATTGGATGTTGGGTTAGGGTATTAAGGATGACACCAGAGTTCATAGATGGACTACCATATCCATACGTGTTTAAAAAATACATAACAGTTCATAAGGTAGAGATCTTAAAGTTACTAGTTTTGTCTCCACTTTCCCTTTTCATTCACATTATAATCTTCATACATTCAGGAAGCCTAAATAGTTAGAATAAACAGATTTTCACAAGCAATATAATTTCAATGGTAAAACCACATCTTGGCAACTTGTGAGATAATTTCATGATTTTTCCTGATCCTTACTTCACAAACAACAGGTTTTTCCCCACGCCAGTACTCACAGACAGTTCATAACCAAGTTGGAGAACACTCAGAAATAAGAGAAGGAAACACTTGCATCATTGAGGAAATATTCACACTTAAGTGGAGAGCCAAAATTGGTCAGAAATTGGATTAGGGGAAAATAATCTTGTTTCTGTTAGCATTTGAAATTGTATCAGTATTTTTCTTTATATCTTTAGCAGATATATATTGTCTGTAATGAAAAGCAATTGCAAAAGCACTTCCCCTTTATTTAGGGGACTGAGTTTATGCCAGTTAGCAAAGTTCAGGGTTGTAAATTCCAAGTCCATACAGCAGCAGATCTTGCAAAGTGGCTCCTTATCACATTTAATGTATGTCATGTTTTTTGTACTGAAATAATTATTGTTTTACTTATTTTCAGGATGAGCAGAAGCTACAGGAGAGTTTAAGGCAAGGTGCCATCATTATTGCTGCCTTAATTAAAGAAAGAAATTCTGCACTCATTGGCCAGCTGCTGGTAGCATGAAGATGACAGGATATTAGGCCTCCAAAAATATTTGCTTAATTTGTTTAAGTATCTGTGTTGTGTTTTATCCCCTTCCCTTCTCCCCCTTATATGTGATAGAATATTTTCTATATCTTGTGATTTATAGTATGTGATGCTTTGATTATAAAAGTGGATAAGAGTTGCTCTCTGTGAAATTGTGCGTGTCAAATATAAATTGCCTGAACCAGGAAAGAGTACATGGTAGAAAATAACAAAGGCTGAAAGGTCAAGTTGAAATAATGAACCTTCTAGGAATGAGAATTTAGAAAGCTTCAGTGATTATCTTAATTCTGTTTATTAATCATACTATATTGAAGCTGATAAATAAGTCTTTAGACTTCTCAATTTATTAAAATTGTCTTTTCACCATTTGATATTTTTCTTTTTTGTGTTATATTGATATTTTTCACACCTTCAGAACAAAGGCAGGGGTGTGTGTGACAGGAAATAGAACTGTTTCAGTTTTCTTCACTATTTGCCTTCCGTTCCTCTATATCTCTAAAGGAGAGGCAATCTCCTCCTGCTTTTCTATTATTTTTAAATTTTGTAACCTCTTTGGTTTATGAAATGTAATTTTGATTTACATTTTTTTAATGAATCTCTCATTTTTCTGAGTACATTTAAATGTCTGGAAGGTTTCATAGAAGTTCAGTGTTTTTAGTCATTCCTGGTTGTCAGCCTTTTGCAAAGCACATCATAGAGTCAAATTAGTTACTCTTTCAATTCAGATACTGCCTCCTTGTTAAACAAAGTTCTTATTCTTTCTAATTTCTATTGACATATAGGTCTTGAATATTAATATCTTTCTTTACACTGAATAATTATGTGCATATAATCATTAAAATGCCTTTTATTTTATACATATATTTATTTTAAAAAAATAGATCAGATCATACCAGTTCTTAGGTTGCATGTGGAAATTATACAACTTGCATGAATTATTTTCAGCTAAAGATAGACAAAAAGATAAAATATCAACCTTGTGAAATTTCTTTTTTCCCTGTATTCCTCAAGTATCAGTATAGTAACTGAATTTATATTTTACATTTAAATAATCATGAGTAGATTATAATGGGCATGGAATAATTATTGTAATTCATTCTCCTAAATGAAAAGGATTGTTTGAATGTAGGTTGGATCTATTTGCCTGGTCTCACCACTTTTCCTTTCTCTAGGGATGTTAGGAGACACAAATCAGTTAACTCACACTGTTTAGAGTGAAGTATGTGGGCAATGTGTAGGTTTGGCTAGAATATCTGTGTCCCTTTGGAGGTGATAATTGTGATGAGAGGAGCAGCAGCAGCAAAGGGCCACACCCTGTGCCTGTTGAAGTCTTCAGAGAACATGTTTTAAGACCTTGAAAATGCTCAGAAAGGCAGAAGGGGGGAAGCATTACCTGTGTCTGCAGTACAGCATAGTCACCTTACTGTCCAAGGTGCTAGCTCTGGCAACATAGATCTCAACAAAGGGACTATGATATCAGGCACAGATTTATCTGGCGCAGTCTGTGATCCACAACATTGAAAATTAAAAAGAGCGAGACCCACCCACCTCCCATTTTCACCCCCCTCTGCTTTCACTGTTCAGATGAGAAAGTTGGGGTTCAGGCATCGTAATTTACCTTGCCCAATGTCATGGGGCTCCATTGTAAAGGAGGCAGGGCTTAAACTCAGAATGACATACATTTTAACTTATATCCAAGCATAACAATGACTCCTGGCAAAGACTTCCAAAAGAGAGGTTGTGACATGTACATCAGAATGTCAGAATCTTGGAGTGAGCATCTAGGAATAGACAAAACTGGGAGACTCCTCTGTCCAATAACCAGATGGAAGTCCTGGGGCTTCTGGCTTCCAAGCCACCTTTCCAGTATATGGTAGGCAGGAGTTAAGGGATAGAGAGACTTATTGGCTAATATGTAAAGATAAATTATTTTATTGATTGTTAAGAGATAAAACATAACTGCAATGTTACTTGTTTATCAATGCTTTATAAATTTAATTACTGTAATTAAAACCTGTCCAGTTTCTATTTTCCAAGACTGCTTAAAAAAAGAATAGTAGTTATGCCTTAGGATTGCTTTAATTGCTTCTAGTTGTGGGAAGTTTTGTGGAAAGACTTTTATTTGTAAATGTATGGTACTTAGTTAAATGAAATTCACTTTCTTAGGAATTCAAGCCAGAGCAATACCATCTTGTATTGGTAAGAGGTAGTAGGTTTCTTCCGCCCCATTAATGTGTTCAATTTAGAGGTAATGCAAGTATACCCATCTACAGGTAAAAGTCAGACTTCTACATCCCGTCAGAGCCATTGTTATTGCAGCCATTTTAAGCATTTTTGCATTGGTTTAACAGTAAAATTCTTTTTTGATTCTACTATATTGTCACTGTGAAATTTTACTTCACATATATAAGTAATCATCATTTAAAGATAAAATTGTAGAACATTTTCTATTAAAAATGTGTAAATTTCATTCTGTTCTAATGTTTAAACTAATTGTGGATTTATGGAAGGATAAATGATAACATTTTAACTGAACCATTAGAACCCATTTGGAAGAAAGACTGAAGTCATTTTAAAAGTTCATTTTGGAAATAAGTAGAATAAATGAAAAAAATAATTTTACTTTGCTAGCATGACTTTAGAAGTGGCTATGTAGATGGTGGTGGTTAGCATTGTACCATTTTGTATACATTCTTATACATGTTAGTTTAAAAACTGAAAAATGTATGCATATTTTTAATATGAAAAGTAAAAAAAACTAATAAAGATTCTAAATATGTTCTCTCTCCAAAACAACACAGAAATAATTGACAAATTATTTATATTTTTAAATCTAATGACATTTGCTCATTTTTAATGTGTACATATTTATTCAAATTTAGTCACAACAAATATCATGCTCTCAAAAATACAGTAGTGTTTGGAAAGCTAGAATTTGGAGTCCCAATCTACTGTTCTGTTAAAAAATAGTTTAAAAATTGTAAAATAATAAAAAATTATAAACCAGAAGTGTAAGTTAGATCTCTTTCTTCTTTCCGTCATTTTTATCATGTTTCCTAGCAGCTATATTTTAGTGGCTACTAAATATACAAGAGTTATATTTGAGCTCAGGGGAAAAGAGTACTGTACTCACTTCATGACATCTTTGGTGAGTGTTATTGTTCAGAAGCACTCTTGTCCTCCCCTTTCCTTCCTCCGGAGGATTATGTGATTACCTCTTGACTTTGGGATTCATTGTGAGAACTGTTTTGACCCATGGAGTGAGTCAGAAATGACGGCGTGCTACTTACTAAACTAAACTTGTAGCTAAATTTCAAAATACTGCATGCATTTGGCTTGTTTTCTTACACTTCTGCCACCATAGTGAGAACACCAGCCTAGCCTGCTGCCGCAGAAAGAGGAGCATCTGGGTGGAGCACCTGGGCCAGCTGGCCTCCAACTAACCACACATGGCTGGAGAGCCCAGCTGAGATCAGCAGAGCCACCTTGCTCAGTTCAGTGGACCTCCAGCAGACACCTGAGTTAAATAAATGTGCTTGTTTGTTTTTGCTAGTACTGAGGACTTAGTCTTTTTTCTTGGTACCGGGGATTGAACCCTGAGATGCTTCACCACTGAGCCACATCCCTAGCCCTTTTTTGTATTTTATTTAAAGACCAGGAGTCTCTCTGAATTGCTCACACTGACCTTGAACCATGATCCTCCTGCTTCAGCCTCCCCAGCTGCTGGGATTACAGGCATGTACCACCTCGCTTGGCGAGGACTCAGTCTTATTACACCCTTTGTTAATCAAGGAAAGAAAATTTATGGTAATCTGTGGTTTATATGTCCCCACAGGTATAGGAAGTGTCTGGAGACACACATTTTGCTAAAACAGAGTACTTATAGGAGAATTATTAGAGCAATGACCCCAAAGTACAGGAAGGTTCTGAGGATATCTCAATATTTATTAAGTTTTTTTCCTTGTTTTTAAAATTGGTTATTTTTAGTTTACATGACAGTAAATTCAATATTTAGTAGCTTCTAAAAGAGAAAAATGGGCCTGAATGTTTTAGAAAAGTTTTCAAAAGAGGTGAAATTTTTGGGCTATGAAGTGATCCTGAGTTGAAATTATGGGTATTTAAAATAATTAACACTTATTGAATGATTACTTAATGTATTCCAAAAACTGTTCTCATTGCTTTCTATGAACATGATAATACATGTTATTCTTAATAATACCCTTGTGTTCTAGGTAGTACACTTATCATCATTTAAAAAGGAAGAGTAAATGCCTGTCGTCCTTGCAACTCAGGATACTAAAGCAGGAGGATTGCTGGAGCCAGGAGTTTGAGACCAGCCTGAATGCAGTGAAAACCCATCTCAAAAACAAAACAAAACACGAGGAAACCAACACATAAACAACACAAATTACTAATTCAGAATCACGCAAGTAGTAAGTGGTAGAAAGGGTAATCAAATTTGATTATATGGCCTCAAAGCTTATATTCCTAAATACTAAGCTATATGATATTGCAAAAATACTATTTTAAGATTCCTTAAAGAAAGGCTTTCAAAGATAGATCTCAATGTTTTTATTTACTAACAAAAGAAATAAAATGAATACAACTCAGTATTCAGTATTTCTTTATTCCTTTCCTTTGACTATCTCCACCCCAGTCTACAAATTTCAGAACATCCTTGGATCTTCATGTGAAATTAACAAAGGCTGATACCCATACCCACATAAGATTATTAATGTCATTTCTATAAGCTCTAAAGTTGTTGGTATTTCCTTAGGCGATGAAGATCAGTTATTTTTGGATAACACAAGTGGAAGATGAAAACTGGAAGCAAGTATTCTCGTGATAAACAAGAATTCCAGACTGTACTTATGCCTCAGCAGTACAACAAGGCATGAAAAAAGTTGAAATTCGCCTTTTTTACAGGAGTAAGGAAGATCTAGAGAAGTACTGAGGAATGAAAAAGTATAAAGTCT